TTGCATTTTAGAATTATTTCGAAGGATAGAAAAGGGATCATGAATATGGCTAAATAAATTCAAGTTATAATTTCATATCTTCCAGATTAGTTTCTTGGGAATATTATTCAGTAACTCAATATGAACCTCGATTATGAATCAAGTTATTGTTAATCTCAATAAAGAAGTGCCTTATCGAAAATTATTGATTAAGTCAGCGTCTCCAGGTGATAAGCTCGGTGGGAAAGAGATTCAAATAAAGATTGCTGATCGTAGTTCAGTGGGCGAGCATAACAAAATTTACGAGTATTAAAGCATGAAATCTGATTACTAGCGACATCTCGCGGTTCAATGATTACTTAAATTTGATCCCATAGAGCCGGTGAGAACGAGAATACCGGCCCAATTACGGTTTATGTACGGTATCTGTCAGGGAATTCGCGATGGTGTGACCAAGATAAGCTAGATGGCGTCATCAGTACTATAACTTTGATTTAAGTAACAATGGGCTGAGAGGCTATGATTGGCTGAGTTGTAGGAGCGCGAAGAGGGAAAACTCGAAATCAGCAATTTAAGAGTTGGACGGGGAGAGATCAAGAAATAAAATTAATTGGGGTTTGGTCGGTACGGCGGTCGCGAGAAGTCCTAATTGGGGACGTCGTTCTCAGAGTTTGGTCGGGGCGTCGGTCGCGAAGAGTTGGAATTGGGGGACGTCGTTCTATCAACCGGTTGAGTCGGTACGTCGGTTGCGAGGAGTTTGGATTTTTAGACGTGGTTCGCAAAGAGTTTGTCGGGACGTCGGTCGCGAAGAGTTGGAATTGGGGCGTCGTTAGAAGAGAGTTTTCTTTGGTCAAGGCTTTGTTCGCGAGAATCGGAACGGGACGTCGAAAAATCGGTCAAATTGTGATCTCTGTTAATAGTGTAGGTCCACGAGATTATAATTTTATTTGATTAGTTCGTTTTGTGAAAATAATAATAGTATATTTGTGACGTGAAATTGTACTGAGTTTTGTGCGTTATTTTTGGACATTACTGAAAGAAACTTCTGCGTCGCGGGTAAAAGGGTCAGTACCTAGCAAGTTAGGTAGAATTTTGGTTGGTTTATTATTGAAATTACAGGGTGGGCACGTTGAGATAGGGCACTGCTTAAATGCCATCAGGGTGCTGAATATTGGGTTCCCTTTGCTACTTAGTAAATGCGTATTTTATGTTTTGATTTTGTTTTTGTCTACGAGGTTGCCTAGGAGGAACAATTAAATGTGGGCCTCTTAGTTTTTCCTTCTACTGGAAAATATAGTCGTAAATCGGGAGACAATTGAGATGTTCTCAGTGTCAGTTTTGTAAGAATTTTGAAGTTGTTAAATTTTGTCTATCGGTTTCTCAATTCCTTCTATTTTATTGTTTAATTTTGGTCGTTATATATTTTTATATACTGAATAGAGTTATGTTCAGTGAATTTTGGTATCTTTATTCATAAAGTCAACCCCATCCCTCAATTTTTTATAAATCCACGCATTTGTGAAGCCGTGGTGGAATCTACAGTCATCCCGGAGACGAAATCTGGTGGCACCAATTGGACCAGTAGCCTGGAAGCAGTTGGAGTTGGGGAGTCTATGTTCGGCGAGGGGACTCTTTCCCCACATATTCATTCGTTTGATCAGAACGCGACGTAGGCACGTCAAATCTGATCTGGTGGCAGCATTACCAGCTTTCAACCACTTAAAAGATATAATCCTATAGTCCGTCAGGGGTAGTTTGGACGACTTTGGCAGGTTAGATATTTACACACCCCTTGTCGCGACGATATCGGATTTTATTACAGTGGTGGCAGCGGTGGGATGTCTTTTCTCTTAAGGGGGTTGAAAAAAAATAGGGGTTGGAAAATTTTGTTTTCTTTAATTAATTTCGGCGTAGGTTTTCTCGATTTCAATTTATATTAACTAGAAACGGGATGCATTTTTATCTAGGAAGGTTAGGGGGTTGAATTAGATAAAAAAAAGGGGTGGAAAAAAAAATTTAGGTAGTTTTACAACTAATATTTTAAAGGCATCATATCGGGGGGAGATTCAAACTGGTCGATCCGTTATTGGAGATAGAAAATATAGGGCAAGAAAGATATACCAATTGAATTATTTTTAATTTTTTTTTATTCTTGTATTATGAAAAATAACTGAGATTCTCGTGATTAATTTGTGTTAACCAAGATATCTTGTGTCTGCTGACTGTTGATTTTTTTTTTAAATGGAAAAAAAGGGGGTTCTTCACCTGGAAATATACAGGGTGATCTAGTTAATACATTGAGTAATATTTGAAGGTCATTTTGATTTGAGGTTCAGGGTGTTCGATTTCTCAGGGTGTACGCTAGTTTAATCACGCTAGGGAATTTCAGGGTAGGAAAAGGGAACCCTCTACGTCGATAACAGGTTTGTGCTTTGTTGCTATTATTATTATTTTTTTTTACCATGCCCGATCCAGGAGCACAAGCAGCTCCAGGTGCTGGGAATAGTCCAGCCCCTATAATTAACCCTACAGGCGGTACAGGAGGGATTGGCCAAATGCCTGCTCCTGTGAGAATGTCGGCAGTTTATTCATTAGGGATGATTGCGACAACCCTAGATGATTTTTCAGGAAAGGACGCAGCGAGGTATATTGAGAGATTGGAGCAGCGATCTAGGCTAGACGGCTGGACACAGGAAGAAACATTGAAACTTTTTAAATTTAAATTACAGGGTGATGCGTATGATTACTTTAAATCGGATCCTCTACTTGATACATTGAATTATGATGATTTTAAGGATAAATTGATAAAAAAATTTGCTCCTATCAGGTTACCGGGTGAAAACCAGTTAAATTTGAGTAGGTGATATCAGAGGCATGACGAGGATGTGTCTTCTTTTTGTACGCGACTTCGTCTCCTTGGAGCAGAGGTGCTTCAAGAAGATCTTCAGGGGTCTATTCCAGAGGAAGCAGCTGGCCTAAGGAAGAAAAATAAGAATTTGTTGTTGAATCAATTTAAAATGGGACTGAGGAGGGAGTTATTGAAAGAAACTGGGGTTTTACTACTGAAGGATGATTTGGATTTGGAAAAAGCCGAGGAGTTAGTCAAGCTGCAGGAGACTACCGTTTTCATGATGCAAGGTAAAGGACCCATCAGCGCACGTATCGGACAGGTGCAGGCTACAGGTGAATGTTTTTCTTGTGGTAAACGAGGTCACAAGGCAAGAGACTGCTGGACTATAGTAAGGCAGACTACCGAGGACAACAAATGCTTTCGATGTCAGGGTTCTGGGCATTGGGCGCGCGAGTGCAGGGCACCAATAAATAGGGGTGTTCCAGGCAACTTCAGTAGGGGTCCAAGCAACTTCAGTAGGGGTCCAAGCAACTTAAGTAGGGGTCCAAGCAACGTCAGTTGGGATTCAGGAATTCTAAGTAGGGGGCGGGTTCGCCATTGGGACCAAGAGAGGGTTCGAAATGATTCGCAAGCTCGGGGGGAGGAGAGAGGAAATATCGCATGGCATCCAACAGAACGTACCAGAGGAGCTGGGGGGGCTACCACCGTAGGAAGATACCCAAGGGAGGAACCGAGTCATCAAAGGGGAGGAGTTGCAACTGAAGGAAGTGATAGGGCAAATCCCCCCCAACAGTCTTTAAACTGAAGTGGCCTCCTATTAAACCCCGAATAGGCGGCGATACGCGTAGAGGTCCAAAGGGGAATATAAATAATGGACAATCTGTAAGGATAGCAGATGCAGAATTGGAAAATCAAAGGAACATGCTACTCAGGACAATTCCGGAGGTTTTTTCTGATTCAGACAATATACCATATAACAGGGTGATTCAAAAGTAAGCGGCATCCTTTCAGAGGCGTATTCCTTGCTTGAAAATAAGGCAAAAAGTTCCTATTGATAAGGATCCGAAAATGCTTCCTAAGGGAGCTACGGCCCTTTGAATAGGACACCTCAAAGACGGTTTTTTCTCTATAACTTTAAAATCCTTCACAACAAATTTTTAAAAATTGGTGTACGGCATAAAAATTCGATGGTAAATAGGACTCCGTATTCGAAATTTCAGAATTTCATTCAGGGGCGTCACATGCGGGAGAGGGTAAGTGTAAAAATATCCCTTCTTCTCCGGATATTCAGGTTACTGTGATTTCGTTTGGAAATTATTTCGAATACGGAGTCCTATTTACCATCGAATGTTTATGCCGTACACCAATTTTTAAAAATTTGTTGTGAAGGATTTTAAAGTTATAGAGAAAAAACCGTCTTTGAGGTGTCCTATTCAAAGGGCCGTAGCTCCCTTAGGAAGCATTTTCGGATCCTTATCAATAGGAACTTTTTGCCTTATTTTCATGCAAGGAATACGCCTCTGAAAGGATGCCGCTTACTTTTGAATCACCCTGTATAGTAGTATTAAGAGTTAATGACATAGTTTGTAAATGTGTAGTGGATACTGGTGCTGTCATCAGCTTGGCTCGTAGATGTATATTCTCGGAAGAACAAATCAATTTTGAGGGCAATGATGACATTTTTTTGACAGGAGTGACAGGACATAAACTGGAAATCTATGGCACAGCATTGGTGTCAATGGGCTTTGAGGGTGAGGATCTGAGAGAAAATAAAACACAATTGGTTGTATGTGAGGACTCAATTTTGGGACGAGTGGAGGTATTATTAGGTAGGAATTTTTTGGCAGAAAATAGGGCTCTAATCTCATTCGAAGATCCACCAACGCTGAAGATATGGGGAAAATCAATACGAATGTATTCTTATGAGGAAATTTTGAAGCATTCGTCTGTTTGGCATATAACCCAATCTAGAAAGCCAAATGTGTATTCTACACGCATCTTCAATAGGCAAAGAGTAAGGAGCGTTCCATATTCTTTGCAATGCAAGTACGAGGATAATTGGACAGGCTGACTTCAAAGAGTGAGGACATTTTTTGGCAGTTTCAGAAGACTGAGTCAGAACTCTACGGACTGTGAAAAATCCACGACAGATGAAGTTCATAGCCCGCAAATGGAAAATTCAACCGTAAATAGTGATGAAAATCAGTTCACAGAAGGACATGAGAGAGATATGGATGCCCAGCATCAAAATTTGGAGGAGAACCAGAAATTTATTGGAGAACAGCTGGACGTACACCTCATCGAAGAAGAATATCAAAGGATCAAGGTTGTCGAGACGCTGGGAGAAGAAAAAAGTCTTACGAAAACATTGGAGTTTGTTGATGAGGCTGACAATGCTGAGTTGATTCGCACACAGGAGTCACGGAGCGAAATTACTGAGGAAATCAAGTTGCAGAAAAATAATGTGAATGTGAATGTACCTCATCCGGAACTGGAAGACACTGAGATGGTTTCCTCTAACGGAGAAAACACCAAGCTCCTGACCATTCTAGAATATTTTCCGGCAACAGTAGACGAACAAATAACCGAATCTGTTTTGATTACTATGGATGATCTGGTGATTCCTCCAAGAACAGAAGCTAACGTGCGAGGAAGTTTGGAGATGGCCATTAAGGGAGATGTACTAGTTTGCGAGCCCTGCGATATAGGAAATCCTCAAGCACACGTAGCTCGCACAGTGGTGAGGAATGAACAGAAGATTCCAGTGAAGATAATGAATTTATCGTGGAAAGAAGTCAAGCTGAAGAAGGGTCAGAGAATTGGCAAAGCTATGTTAGGTGAAGAAATATCTCCCATGGACCCCTCTGGTTCGAAAATTGGTAAATTTGATTTTTCGAACGATGAGTGGATCAAAAGTGGGTTCGAACTGCAGCATTTGAAAGAAGGAATCAAGGAAGAACTTTATAAGTTATTAAGGAAGTATGGACATCTTTTCAGGGACGACGATGAAGAATTAACTAGTACGACCAAAGTGAAACACAGTCTGACTTTAATACCAGGTGCACAGCCCATTTGTAAAGCCCCATACAGAATACCTTATCGTCAGAGAGAGGTGCTGGAGAAAGAAATAGAACGTTTACTAGAGACCAAAGTTATAAGGCCATCATGTAGTCCGTGGTCGGCGCCTGTAGTATTGGTTACCAAACGACTTCCAAATGGAGAAGAAAAAGTCAGGATGTGTATCGACTACAGAGGACTCAATAACATAACGAAGAAGGAGTACTATCCGCTACCTAATATTTCAGATCTGATTCAAGGATACAAGGCGGGAAATAATATGTTATTTTCAGTGATAGACGTAGCCGAAGCATATCATCAAATCGACATGGATGAACAGTCAATACCTTTGACAGGATTCAGCACTTTCCAAGGTCATTATGAGTATACCAAAATGCCTTTCGGACTCGTGAACGCACCCTCGACATTTCAGCAATTCATGAATATGACCTTGACAGGGCTTACTCCAGAATTATGTATGGTTTATTTAGATGATATCATCATTTTCAATTCAGAAGGTGGAAAAGACCACATTGATAAATTAGAGAAAGTGTTCGAAAGATTAAGCGAGGCAAATGTGAAATTGAAGCCAAAAAAGTGTAATTTTATGTTGAAGAAAGTAAAATATTTGGGGCATATAATTTCACAGGAAGGAATTCTACCGGATCCCGAAACGACTCGGTATTGATTTTCCCAGATTTTGAACAAACCTTCATTTTGGCGACAGATGCCTCGGGACTAGGAGTAGGAGCAGTACTGAGCCAACTGCGTGATGGATATGAGAGACCTATAGCCTACGCTAGCCGAAAGCTCAAAAAGGCGGAACTAAATTACACAACAACAGAGAAAGAGTTACTTGGAGTTATGTATGGGATACAAACGTTTTGTTGTTATGTGTATGGAAAGAAATTTACGGTCATCACTGATCACCGGCCTTTGAAATGGTTGTTAACCTTGGAAGATCCAAGTTCCAGATTGACTAGATGGGCTCTAGCCTTAGCAGAGTATGATTTTGAGATTATACACCGACAGGGAAAACTCCATAGAAATGCTGATGCCCTCAGCAGAATGTATAATAAGGAGAAAAATTTCGTGAATTTGGGATATGAGGAATTTGAGGAGTATAAAAAAAAACATAAAATACCGAGGATGCACAAATTAACCTATCAGAAAGGAGACTTATTCACCTCACCTGAAAACTGGGCGTTAGCTCACTGTGTTTCTAAGGACTTGGCAATGGGAGCTGGAATTGCCAAGACATTCAAGGAGAGATATGGCTCTGTAGATTCTCTGTTGCAACAAGGAAAAGGCATAGGAGAGGTAGCAATGTTATTGCTCCCGGAAAGGAATATCTACTACTTAGTCACTAAGAGTGCATATTATGAAAAACCAACCTATAATACCCTATGGGAGACTCTGAAAGAACTCAGAGTCTGTTGCGAGACAAATCACGACAAGTTTCTAGCAATACCAAAGCTTGGATGTGGATTGGATGGACTTAATTGGGAAAAAGTGGCAGAAATGATAGAATTTATTTTTTATGGGTCAGATATTGAGATAAGGGTATACAATGGAAAATGTATAATTGAGAAACCTATTTGGTTAGTGGAGGAAAGTATAGTGATGGAACCACACTGGGATCGAGAAATGTTGGAAAAGGCACAACGTCGTGATACATTCTGTCAAGGAATAATGGCTCAACTAGAAGTAGGAGATGGGAAAAATGAAGATTATTACGTTGATAAGGACGGAATACTCTACAAAATCGATGCTGACGAAGACGAAAAACTAGTGGTACCAAGAGGAATGGTGAAAAAGGTACTCAAAGACTTTCATGACTCACCAATGGCAGGACACCAGGGGCAACAGAAAACCTTGTGGAGTATTAAGAAGAGATTTTACTGGCCCAACATGAATACGGAAATTGGAAGATACGTAGCAGCTTGTGAGTCTTGTAATAAACGAAAAACTTCACCACATCAGAAAAAGGCACCTCTTCAAAAATTTACAACAGCCTATGAACCATGGGAATTGACTTCCATGGATATCGTTGGTCCTTTGGTAACTTCTTGGAATGGAAACCGCTACCTGCTGACCTTTCAAGATTATTTCACAAAGTATGTAGAAGCCATCCCCTTGCCAGATCAAAAAGCAGAGACAATTGCGCGAGCCTTTGTCGAATATATTGTGTGCCGACATGGAGCACCTCGAATGCTCTCAACGGATAGAGGAACAAATTTTATGTCTGGGTTATTCAAAGGAGTATGTGGAATATTGGGCATCCAGAAGATACAGACGTCAAGTTATGCCCCTACTTCGAATGGGCAAATAGAAAGAATGCATCGGGTTCTCAAGGACATGCTGTCCCACTATATAGCGGATAATCAGCGAGACTGGGATACATGGATTCCAGTAGTGTTAATGGCTTATCGTGGAAATGTTCATATCTCGACAGGGTATACTCCTTTCTTCTTATTGCATGGACGTGAGCAAGTCTTGCCGGTAGAGGGTTTCATTCGACCTCAACGAATCAGATACGATTGTGCAGAAAACTACGCTTCGGAATTAGCGGAAAGACTCAAAGAGGTGTATTCCCGTACACTGAAGATATCAGAGAAAGCCAAAGAGGTACGAGCAAAGCAGTTCAATAAAAAAACGAAGGATAGAACATATAACCTAGGAGATCGGGTATACCTCTGAAGTATGCATGTAAAACCAGGTATATCGAAGAAACTCGTGAAACCCTGGGTTGGTCCCTATAAAGTAATAGAAATTATAGGACCAGTTACCTATAGAGTGAAATTGATAGGAGGAAGGGATGAACAGGTAGTGCATGTGAATAGATTGAAATCGTATTCGACATTTGAACCAGAGATTGAAGAAAACTGGAGTAGCAGCAGCGAAGAAGACATAGAAAATACTGAAGAGATTGGGTTGAAGGATCAGAGTGCCTCTGTGCAGAAGAATAAGAGAGTTCTTATTCCCCCACTTTGGATAGACTTACACCGAAACACTGATGAGGGAGATAACGGTGTGGAAATAGAAAGTGATTCTGAGGAAGAAATAGAGGAACCTCAGCCTTTAAGGAGATCAAGTCGTATTCGAAGACCACCACATCGGTTGGACTTATAACATAATCAGAGTGAAAGGATATGGGTGTAAAAATTGTTTGATGATTAGTGGCTAAGTAAATTTTAGAAATGGTTGGAAAGGATAATTAGGTGAAAGATATGAATGAATGGATGGAAGCGAATGTGAAAGATTAGTAAGGATTTATTGAATGAGTCAGAGGAGTGCCGAAACTTGAAGGGCACGGGGTTAACACTCTTCAAGTAGGTTTAATGAGATCATGAAACTATGATCCATATTAATTACTTCTGGCCCAGACAGGTATCGTAGTTGCTTAGGTTACCGTTAAGTAATTTATGAAAAGACCCAATTCGAGATATATATGATGTGTATATTCGAAAGATATTTTATATTACTGAAGTGAGGTATTGTGTAGGTGCCAGCGAAGACGAGCATCCGTTCCAGCTAGACGTCATGGAGAGGGGCAGCACAACAATGAATATCCCGGTGATCGCTACCTTGTTGGTCATGCACTATTTCGCCTCGGTGAACGGGACAATCGCATATGATTGCAGTGAGCCGAATGTGAACATTTCGATAATTTCTCTCAGAAACGTAAAGAAGTGTCCGGAACCGGAATCCGCGTATTTGAGTACGTCCGCGATTGTAAAAGTGGTACAACGTAACGAGATTCGACATCAACATGTATGGACTTGCCTAGTGGAAACAACCCGTATAATGTATCACTGTGGGATGCATAGTCACTCGTCTTTGGTGGAGGGAGGAATTTCAAGTTATGTGGATAAGCTGGGAGCAGAAGATTGCAGGCTACTTCATCGCTATCGCGCACTGAAACTCTATGAACAGGATATTGGGCAGATAACGATGAATGGATCGACTACCGCTTCACTAACAATCTTGGGATCGGTAGATGCTACTGGATCATGTGACGGAACAATATACCACGAAAATGGACGAACCTGGAAAGATGTTGTCATCATGGCCAGCGTGAAAATACAAGCTAGGGATTACGAGGCCAAAGTCAATCTCAACGAGAATGAGATTAGCTTACAGGGAGGTGTAACTTGTCCCTTCATGAAAGGATACTGTTTCGATACTATATTGGGAGAAAGTGTATGGGACAGTGATTTCTCAACGACCTGCGACAGCCACTTGAGCCTTTTATATGAGGGACACGCAGAAACAGTATTGAATCGAGTGACGAATGAAAAATATTTGGTGGTCGAAGGTGAAACGAAAATTTTTGCTTTGACGTTTACCAAAAGGATGATGTTATGCAATATTGATGTATGGCAGACAGAACATCCTAGAATTATAGTGGTCGAAACCAGCACCGGAAGAGATATTATGCCTTCAATGAATATACTTACAGAAAATACCGATCTGATGGCATATGTAAATAGTAAGTTTCTGTATGTGGAACAGTCGTATAAGAGAGGATTGGATAAACTGTATATTAACACAATCCATCGACGATGTCAAGTACGACGTGAGATATTGAGGAATAGACTCTTAATGGCACCTTTAATGCCATACGCAATCAGCCAGATCCTGCAGGAGGAAGGAGGACATGTGGGTCGAGTATTAGGAGAGGTACTATACATAATGAGATGTGTCCCTAAAGTAGTGACGATAAGACGAACCGATCGTTGTTACCATGAATTACCCGTGGAAGTTAATAACCAGTCGAAATTCATATCACCTATTACTAGGATCATTCAGGACTATGCCGAGGAGATCGACTGTAATGGATTAACTCCTCCACTTTACTATTTGGACAACGAATGGATAGGGCTGACACCTTACCCAATCATCAAGAGACCACCGAGAGAATTAGCAGTTGACCTAGAATACGAGTTGGAGTTCGCTCCAATACAACCTTTGGGGACTCAAGGATTGTATACTCAAGATGAAATATCTAAAGTTCAAAGAATCTTGACATTCGGTAATGAACGGAAGGCTGTTGAGAATATAATAGCCAGAAGGATAGCCGGACTCGAAGCAGAAGGACAAGGACTCACAACGCTCAACTTGTTCAACGTTAGAGAAATGAAAATGTTAGCCGAATCTACAATGAAGCAGCTATGGGGATGGTTTTCGGATATCGGAATTTTTATGAGTGGATTAATCGGATTCTACTATATATTTAGAGTTGTGAAATACACCGTAGGTGTCATCCTAAATGGTATACATCTGTATCAAACCATAGGGTGCGGAGTATCATTGTTGGCGAGTTTATGGAATACATTAACCTGGTGGGTGATACAACGGAAGCAACCCGAGCGACCTACACAAAACGAATCACCATCAACTACAGAAAATGTTACTGTACCCCGACATAATGTCAGCGTCCAATCACCAAGCATCTACCCCGATTTGCAGAATCCGACAAGGCACTGGTCTGAGCGTGAAGTTGAAAAATAGGACGGTTTAACGGTGCAACTGAAAGACTATAATAGTTATTTATGTATTAAGGGAATCATGAGGGCCTTAATTACCGATGGCAAAGTTTGCGTCCCGAGGGCCTCTGGCCCGAGGGACAGCAATTGCCTGAGGTTATTGAGGCTCAGTAATTCCCGTGATACATAGATAATTTTATTTCTGACTGATTTCATTCATTAGATACCTTTCCGATTGGAAGTTAGACATGTTTTTCCGTATAGTTTCAATGTCATCAGAACGTCAGATGATGATCTTGACTACCGCGAATAGGAGATTCCTTATTGCTACGTTACTGCGTGGTTGTTGCTATGCATTTCTTATTCAATTTTAGTTAGAGGGAATTATAGCATCTATAACATCCCAAGGGAGTTATGACCCTCATAATAGATATCGTAACTATGACGATATAAGCTTATAATGTCACTGTCAGAAATAAAAGACATTAATGACAAAATGAACTTACAGTGCGACATACTATATTTTTGATTATACTAGAGACTGAAATGATTGTAAATACACTATTGACGCGCGCGTATATCTGAAATAGTGCCCTGCTGACCGACAAGGGTAGTTAGAACACATAGGGAGATCCCTTCAATATCAATATCATCGGAGGGGTAGCCAATGGAAAATAGTTGCGGAACCATAGTGTCGTGAAATTCAAATCGGGAGTGAATGTAAGGGCCTCTTATTGCCGCTCATTGTGTTAGATTATGAATTGATTTTAGTTTTTGTAATCCATTAGGGAAGCTTTGTTATGATGTAATAGATATTAGAAAATATTTTCTTTAGGGAACCCCAAACATTGCTTGTTGAGCAACTCCACTGAATGTTGATTAAGTTACAGGTTGTACTGAAAACATTTTGAAGCTATCGGAATTTTCAGTAGCGTTGCTTCAATTGTCAATGAGCACTTAAAACGAGGAAAAGTTATGGCTACTAACCCAAAACTTTTTCAAAGGGGGAAGTATTGTAACACCCTGTAGGTGTTATGTACTTAGATTTAGGTAACTGACTATCTGAGTACTTAAGTATATTGCATTTCAGAATTATTTCGAAGGATAGCAAAGGGATCATGAATATGGCTAAATAAATTCAAGTTATAATTTCATATCTTCCAGATTAGTTTCTTGGGAATATTATTCAGTAACTCAATATGAACCTCGATTATGAATCAAGTTATTGTTAATCTCAATAAAGAAGTGCCTTATCGAAAATTATTGATTAAGTCAGCGTCTCCAGGTGATAAGCTCGGTGGGAACGAGATTCAAATAAAGGTTGCTGATCGTAACTCAGTGGGCGAGCATAACAAAATTTACGAGAATTAAAGCATGAAATCTGATTACTAGCGACATCTCGCGGTTTAATGATTACTTGAATTTGATCCCATAGAGCCGGTGAGAACGAGAATACCGGCCCAATTACGGTTTTTGTACGGTATCTGTCAGGGAATTCGCGATGGTGTGACCAAGATAAGCTAGATGGCGTCATCAGTACTATAACTTTGATTTAAGTAACAATGGGCTGAGAGGCTATGATTGGCTGAGTTGTAGGAGCGCGAAGAGGGAAAACTCGAAATCAGCAATTTGAGAGTTGGACGGGGAGAGATCAAGAAATAAAATTAATTGGGGTATGGTCGGTACGGCAGTCGCGAGAAGTCCTAATTGGGGACGTCGTTCTCAGAGTTTGGTCGGGGCGTCGGTCGCGAAGAGTTGGAATTGGGGGACGTCGTTCTATCAACGGGTTGAGTCGGTACGTCGGTTGCGAGGAGTTTGGATTTTTGAACGTGGTTCGCAAAGAGTTTGTCGGGACGTCGGTCGCGAAGAGTTGTAATTGGGGCGTCGTTAGAAAAGATTTTTCTTTGGTCAAGGCGTCGTTCGCGAGAATCGGAACGTCGAAAAATCGGTCAAATTGTGAGCTCTGTTAATAGTGTCGGTTCACGAGATTATAATTTTATTTGATTAGTTCGTTTTGTGAAAATAATAATAGTATATTTGTGACGTAAAATTGTACTGAGTTTTGTGCGTTATTTTTGGACATTACTGGAAGAAACTTCTGCGTTGCGGGTAAAAGGGTTAGTACCTAGCAAGTTAGGTAGAATTTTGGTTGGTTCATTATTGAAATTACAGGGTGAGCAGGTTGAGATAGGGCACTGCTTGAATGCCATCAGGGTGCTGAATATTGGGTTCCCTTTGCTATTTAGTAAATGCGTATTTTATGTTTTGATTTTATTTTTGTCTACGAGGTTCCCTAGGAGGAACAATTAAATGTGGGCATTTTAGTTTTTCCTTCTACTGGAAAATATAGTCGTAAATCGGGAGACAATTGAGATGTTCTCAGTGTCAGTTTTGTAAGAATTTTGAAGTTGTTAAATTTTGTCTATCGTTTTCTAAATTCCTTCTATTTTATTGTTTAATTTTGGTCGTTATATATTTTTATATACTGAATAGAGTTATGTTCAGTGAATTTTGGTATCTTTATTCATAAAGTCAACCCCATCCCTTAATTTTTTATAAATCCACGCATTTGTGAAGCAGTGGTGGAATCTAGTCATCCCGGAGACAAAATCTGGTGGCACCAATTGGACCAGTAGCCTGGAAGCAGTTGGAGTTGGGGAGTCTATGTTCGGTGAGGGGACTCTTTCCCCATATATTCATTCGTTTGATCAGAACGCGACGTAGGCACGTCAAATCTGATCTGGTGGCAGAATTACCAGCTTTCAACCACTTAAAAGATATAATCCTATAGTCCGTCAGGGGTAGTTTGGACGACTTTGGCAGGTTAGATATTTACACACCCCTTGTCGCGACGATATCGGATTTTATTACAATTGTTATGGTTATGTTCTGTGGTTTTGTTTTGTTTCCAAGTGTCCTGTGTCACCTGTATTCATATTGACTTTGATGGTTTCATATCCATATCTTGACAGGATTGTATTGTCTGGTCTGACGCGTATTAACGTAGTTGTCGGCCGAATGACAAGGTTCTCGGTAACTGTAAGACTGATGAATAAAATGTGCACAAAGTAATTATAAGGTGTATAATTATTATATTATGATCTCTTGAGAATCATAAACCTGACAGCAGTCACAAAATGAATCACCCACTAAACATGTAATGTTACAAAATATTGCCACAATATATTGTGAAGACTTCTTCCGTGATATGAAAATACAATATTGTATCTATTTTGCTGCTATATTCGTGTTGACGATATAACAGAAAAACTTACTGACAAATTGTTTGTGAGTTACAAAATGACCCTTTCAATTAAGGTTCAATAGCAATATTGCATCAACTATATATTCTCATTGAAATTGCAACATTACATGGATCAACTACGAACAATATCAGTGCAACGTTACATATGGAATTTCTCCTCAGGGGCTCACGACTTGTGAGTACGGGAATGGCAATCCCGAGGTACCCTAGCCGGATACTCATTAATCTTCAACTTGTCTTTGATGGTATCCTCTTCACTCTTCAGTTTCCAATCTTTTTCTTCATCGGCCTCCCTTGGTCACTTCTCCTCTTTTCCTTCTCCCCTAAAGCCCAACCTCACCATTGTGCGGGGAGGACAAGCCGCGGCTGCTCGGCAGATTGAGAATTTTGGGAACATCTTTGCTATCATCACTCAGATGGGACAGTTTTGTGGACATCTGAGTGCGAAGATGAGGCAATTTGTGAAAATCTGCTTATGTGGCCGCGGATTGATAACGAGGCTCTGGCGATCCCCTCAGGGGCTCACAACTTGTGAGTACGGGAATGGTGAACCCGAGGTACCCTAGCCGGATATTCACCATACTTCAACTCGTCTTGGGTGATATCCTCTTCTCTCTTCCATTTTCAATCTTTCTATCGGCCTTTCTTGGCCAACTTCTCTTTTCCTCTTCCCCTCCAAGCCCAACCTCCCCATCAAGTGGTGTGGGGAGGACAGACCGCGGCCGCTCGACGGATGAAGCATTTCGGGACCATCTTTGCTATCTCTGGACTAGATGGGACAATTTGTGGACATCTGTGGCAGGGATGGGGCGATTTGCTGATGTTTGTCTAGGTGGTCGAGGACTGGTCAACGAGGCTCTGGCAACCTAATCCAAGCTGTGGGAACCCGTGGCGATGGATGGATGGCACCGAGGAATGGTGTCGGTAACGGGGCCTCTGGGAAACAGGGCGACATCCCAGAGTAAACAGCCTTAGCCCTGTGCAGGGGGCACCACAGGGCTGGACCAACCCCTTCCCCCTTACTCGTGGGATCAATATGGACCAAAGAGAAAATAAAAAAAAACCTAAAAGACCCGAGGAGGGATCGGATAACTCCGACTCAGACTCGGGTAATATCACTGTCAGGGAAGTAATGGCCGTAGACAGTGATAACGACAACGGGGAGGGATCCATGCAAATGGACGACCTCACCGTACCACCAGTGGCAGGGCCTGTCGAGCAATCGGCAGTTAACAAGGACACTGGTAAAATAACCGAGGGGATCAAGAAAATCGACCTTGTGAAGAAACTCTCTGGAGCGCAGCGAAAAAAGGAGCTGAAAGAGAGGAAAATGGCAGCCGGGACGTGGACGGCAGAACCACCTGCTCAGCTCAGGAGGAAATCTGAGAACAAAAAAACAGAGGGAGCAGGAGGAATCAAGAGCGAGGGAAACAAAAAAGACCCCGATCTGACTCCCAGACCCCTCCCAAGAACCAAAATGTCAAGAGGGCCAGGAACACGAACGTGTCGACTGGTACCTACAGTGACATGACCAGAGGAATCCGGGTGGCCGTGATCGACAGACGACACCCGGACGTATCACTGAACCAGGAGCAAGCAGAACTGGTCCAGAATGCAATTGTGGATGCACTCTACGCGGCTCCATCAGGGAGCAAGGGTGCAGCACAATTCGAAAGGAGCGGATTCAGCGCAGGGGTCTTATCGGTGACCTGCGCGAACGAACGCAGCCTTAACTGGCTCAGGGAAACGGTCGGCTCCCTTGGGGGGCTATGGGAGGGGGCTGAATTGACTGTTGTCAACTTCAGGGACCTCCCCGTCCGCCACAGGGTGTTGGTCTTCGTCCCTGGGGCAGTCAGAGAAGAGCCATCAGAGTTCAGGCGGCGTCTACAACTCCAAAACATGGAGCTACGTACGCAGGAATGGACCCTGGTAAACAGGAACACGGAGAGGGAAGCAGGACAGACCTTAGTCTTCTCCGTGGACGAGGTCTCCTTCAGGACACTGGAGAGGATGCACTTCCGAGCGTATTACAGGCTCGGAAAGGTACTCTTCAGGGCCCTGGAAAAGAAGAAGGAAGGGAAGGATAAGGGTCATCCAGACGAACCTCCAACACAGTAAGGTAGCCTCGGCAGTACTTACTGTAACTATGGAGGGATTCGACGTGGCCCTTATACAGGAACCATGGATAGGACATGGTAAAATAATGGGTTTGGGGGGGACGAGCAGAGAGCTAATTTATAGCAGATCGGCCGTGACCCCTCGAACCTGTATACTTATTAAAAATGATTTAAAAATATTGCCGTTGACAAACTTCTGTTCTAGAGATTCAACGGCCATCAAAATCAGGATGAAAGATGGTAGTGGGACGAGGGAGTTAGTACTCGGATCGGCCTACTTCCCTTCGGATGATCCTGAACCACCACCTACGAGGGCTGTGGAAAAACTGGTGAGGGACTGCAGCATAAAAGGACTGCAGCTGATCATTGGGTGCGATGCGAATGCACACCACACCATCTGGGGAAGCACCGACAACAACGTTAGAGGCGAATCACTACTACAATTCATGCTGGCAAACAACCTGGACACATTGAATGTAGGGAATAAACCAACCTTCATCACAAGAAATAGGAAGGAGGTACTTGATGTAACAATAGCCTCTACATATGTGAGTAACCTTGTTACAGAATGGCATGTGTCAGATGCAGAAAGTTGCTCGGATCACAGACACATACATTTCAAAGTAAAGAGCAACATAATTCAAGAAACTTATCGGAACCCAAGGAAAACGAAATGGGGAGCCTATCAAGCAGACCTATCCCTTAGTCTCTTGGCAACACAGAGGAAGATAAGTACGAACGAGGACCTTGAGGGGGCTGTGGAGCAATTCAATGACATATTCACCTCAGCGTTCAATAACAACTGTCCCCTTATCACAAGGAAGGCTGCCAGGAATGTGCCCTGGTGGAGCTACGAACTTGCAAGATTGAGGAAACAAGTGAGAAAGAAATTCAATAGTGCAAAAAAATCAGGAAGGTGGGATGAATACAAGACCGCCTTGACCGGATACAAAAAAGCGATCAGCAAATCTAAAAGAGACTCCTGGAGGAAGTACTGTGAGGAGATAGAAAGCACTCAGGAATGCGCTAGACTTCAAAGGATACTCTCCAAAGACTCGAAATGTACAATATACTCTCTTAAGAACGAACAAGGAGAGTACACAAATACAGGAAAGAAAACAATAAAAGAACTCTTCAGAGTTCACTTTCTGGATCTCAAATAGTTCGGACACCTGCTATGGGAAACGAAAACGGACTGGGGGCCCTATTGAGAGGATCCAGGGAAAGTTGGAACATAGCTAAAGAAGTGGTGACCTATGATAAAGTCGAATGGGCAGTTAACTCATTCGAACCCTTTAAATCACCAGGACCAGACGGGATCTACCCAGCACTGCTGCAAAAGGGAACAGAACCACTGATAAGGTGGCTCTGCAATATACTGAGAGGAAGTTTAGCTCTTGGATACATACCAAGAATTTGGAGGAAAGTGAGGGTCACCTTCATACCGGAACCTGGAAGAACTGGACAGGAAACGGCGAAGTCCCTCAGACCAATTAGTCTCATGTCATTCACACTGAAGACTTTAGAGAAGCTGGTAGACAGGCACATGAGGGACGGCGCACTGGTAGAAATCCCACTGCACCGAGACCAATATGCCTACACGACCGGTTGTTCGACAGAAACGGCACTCCATAAACTTGTTGAAAGGGTGGAAAACACGCTGGAAAATAAAGAGGTATTATTAGCGGCCTTCTTAGACATAGAAGGAGCCTATGACAATACCTCAATAAACTCTATAATTAGAGCTCTCAGACAGAGAGGAATCGAGGAACCCTGTGTGGCCTGGATAGACTCAATGTTGAGAAACAGAACGATTTACACCACTGTGATGGGAGAGACCGTAGAGGCCAGGGCGACCAGAGGATGCCCGCAGGGAGGAGTACTCTCCCCACTTCTGTGGAATCTGGTTATGGACGGGCTACTGAGGGTACTCAATGACAGTGGACATAGAGTCCTTGGATACGCAGACGACATAGTAGTCTTGGCACAAGGAAAGTATAATACCACAGTCAGAGATCGTATGATAGAGGCTCTAGAACTGGTAACGAAATGGACGGATCAAGAAGGGCTGAATATCAGTCCTCACAAGGCCACCATGATAGCATTCACACGAAGACATAAACTAGAGGGATTAGGTCCTCTTAAACTTCGAGGCGAAACAATCCAGTTGAAAGAGGAGGTCAAATACCTCGGGGTGATATTAGATCCGAAACTGACTTGGAACCAACAACTGGAAAAGACAACCAAAAAAGCGGTAACGTCACTGATGATGACCAGACGCTCTTGTGGGAAGAAATGGGGACTGAGACCAAACATGCTGTACTGGTTGTACAACAGGGTGGTGATGCCTTCCATAACATATGCCTCTCTGGTATGGTGGAAGAAGACACTACAAAGAGGAGCTATAACAAGACTGAGCAAGATACAAAGACTTGCATGTCTAGGAATCACGGGAGTTATGAAGTCAACGCCAACCGCAGCCATGGAAACACTACTGGATCTGCCTCCCCTCCATTTGATGGTACAGGGGGAGGCGAGACTTGGTGCCCTAAGACTGCAAAATACACTGGGCAATGTTAACATAGGAACAGGACATATGAGCATCGTCAGAATAGTGAACAGGGACATACTTAATATGAGAACAGATCACATTTCGAAACGATATATATTTGACACTTCATTCAGAGTGTCCATACCAGACAGATCTGAATGGAATGACAGAGAACTCAGCACCATACTGCAGGGAAATATCTGGTATACAGACGGGTCCAAGACTGCGAATGGGTCAGGAGCAGGAGTATACTCCAAACATCCGGAAACTAGCCTCAGCTACTCATTGGGGAAGTACGCTTCAGTCTTCCAAGCAGAGGTATACGCAATTCTCCAATGTGCGGAAGAAAATAACAGGAGAGCTGTGGAAAACGAGCAGATCCGTATTATGTCAGACAGTCAAGCGGCACTTAAGGCAATAGAAAGCCAGGAAGTGACATCTCGACTGGTATGGGATTGCAAGAGGGAACTGAGAACTTCGGCAGACCGGAACTGCGTCAAGCTAATCTGGGTGCCAGGTCATCAGGGGATCGCTGGCAATGAGAAGGCTGACGAACTCGCAAGAAGAGGGTCGGACAACGAGCCAGATCCAGGACAGACTCTTGGAGTACCAAAACGTACAGCACGAGGGTCAGTTAAAGACTGGATTCAGGCAAAACACAAGAGCTACTGGGAAAACATCCCAAGAAACAGACATGGGAAACAATACATTAAGGAACCAAGTCATAAACGAACTGTAGACCTGCTCAACTTGAACAGAGCACAGATAAAAACTGTCACGGGACTCATGACTGGCCACGCGCCAGTGAAGGAGCATCTCACCAGAATGGGACTGTACAATGGCGACCCAAGCTGCAGATTATGTGGCAAGGAACCAGAAACAGTAGCACATATACTGTGCCGATGTGAGGCATTGGACCGCAGAAGACAGAAGATCTTTGGGCAACCAGTTGGCGAACCAGAAATATTCAACTCACATCCAGTGAAGGATTTGTACAGACTTGTTCAAGGTACAGAGATAATGAAGTGGGCACAATAAAGAACATTAGGTAAGATACAATGGGCCACCATAGGCCTAAGTGTCGTCGGAGACATGGTCAGACGAGCCTACAAACGGGGTGGAGTTTTTAGTGGGTAAACCCTGGCTAGAGTCAGGGGAGTCCCACACTACCATATGGGGGATAGGACCCATATGGTGTCCATAAAGGATTTAAACCACCTCGACAAAAAAAAAATGGAGGGGACTCCCACACTATCATATGGGGGATTGGACCCATATGATGTCTATAAAAGATTTCAACCACCTCGGCGAAAAAAAAAAAAAAACATATGGAATTTTCAATTGTAATGTTGCATCAACATTGATACTTCATTGAGTTTGTAAATAACATGAGGTAACTACAAACAATATTGCTACAGCTTTTGAGATGCAACACATATTTGAATAAAAAATGTAATATAGCTGAAATATACAAAATGCTACATTGGGTATCGATCGAGAGACTCCATTTCATGAAATGCCTACGCGCAGTCGCAAACTTGCATTCGACAAACGCCACTATCTTAGTCGCCATATTTGTTCGTGTTTGGCTTCGGTAACAGGTATTTTGTTGTTGTACACGTCCAAATGGCAAATGATACCAATAAATAATATACTTTGGAACATAAATTGAGGTA